AGTAGCGGTAGCAGTAGTAGTAGTAGCAGTAGTAGTAGCAGTAGTAGTAGCAGTAGTAGTAGCAGTAGTAGCAGTAATATTATAGTAGTAGTAGGAGTAGTAGTATTAGTAGTGGTAGTAGCAGTAGTAGTAGTAGTAGTAATAACAGTTGTAATAATAACAGTAGTAGTAGTTTATTCAGTCATTTTGCAGTACTATGGAAAAACAAAACAAAAACAGGAGACAAGACTAAACCAGGACTAAACCAGGACTAAACCAGGACTGACCAGGACTAGCCCATGTGAGGACTAAGCGGGGCGGGGCTCACCTGGTGGTAGCCGGTGCAGGTGACCACTTTGTCGGTCCCGGGGAGGAAGGCCATGTCTCGGACCCAGTGGGGCTGCTTCAGGTCCAGCCAGTTGTCGCGCAGGTTTTTGGCGCTGAACACGGGTTTGTCCGGGTTCTCCAGGTCCCAGATCTTCAGGGGGTTCTCCTTCCCCCCGGTGGCCACTCTGTGAGGAGCAACGGGACTCTGACGCATCCTGGAAAAACACAAACGCAAAAGGGTTTTAACAGTGTTGTGGAGTAACAGATTACATGTACCGGAGTAATCAGAGTACAAATGATGAGTAACTGTATTCAGTTACAGTTACTGTTTCAGTGAGTGGTAATTGGATTACAGTTACTTTGTTGAAATAAATGGATTACACAGAGGGATTTTCCTGTTTTCACATTTTGGGCGATATCCCCTTTTTTTTTTCAGTAATTCCACTCACTGCCGGACACTAAACCAGGACTAAAACAAGGACTAAACTAGGTCTAAAACCAGGACTAAATCAGGACTAACCCAGGACTAAACCAGGTCTGAACCAGGTCTAACCCAGGACTGAAACAGGACTAAAACAGGACTAAACCAAGACTAAACCAAAAAGTTACACCTGTAAGTTCGGGGCTATGATCCTCGGTCCTGTTCAGTCTCGTGAGGCCTGATGTTAGACCAGATCCAGACCCAAAACCCGGACCCCAAAACCTTGGACCCAGACCCAAACTCAAACTCAGACCCAAACTCAGACCCAAAACCCTGGACCCAGACCCAAACTCAAACTCAGACCCAGACCTAAAACTGAAACCCAGACCCAAACCCCAGACCCAGACCTAAAACCAAACTCAGACCTAAAACCCAAAACTCAGACCTAAAACCCAGACCCAAACACCAGACCCAAAACTCAGACCCAAACTAGACTTAAAACCCAGACCCACCTGTGCACGTGCTCCCCCGCGCGCACCTCCGTCACGGGCTCGTCACAGTCTTCCTTCCACACGCGCACGGTTCCCTTCTCCGTGCACGTGGCCAGCGCGGGGCCGAGCGCGAGGAGCCCGCTGAAGCAGCCCTCGTGCGGCTCCCCGCAGCGGCGCGAGGACGTGAACGCGCCCTTCTCCGCGCTGAACGTGCGCACGAGCCCGTCCGCCGAGCCCACGAGCACCTCCGCCTCCCCGCGCCCGGTCCAGCTCAGCGCGCGGACCTCCTGCGCGCGGCTCAGGCGGCTCGAGCTGCCGAAGTTCACCGCCTGTTTCCGGCTCAAGCTCACGCCTTTGAGCAGCCCGGTCTCCGCGCCGAGCCACACGTCCATCCCCGACATCTGCTGCTCCACCGGGAAACACCGAGCACACCGAGAAATCAACCGAAACACACCGAGAAATCAACCAAAACACACCGAGAAATCAACCGAAAACACACCGAGAAATCAACCGAAACACACCGAGAAATCAACCAAAACACACCGAGAAATCAACCGAAACACACCAAACACACCGAGAAAACAACCAAATAACACCGAACACACGAGAAACGAACCGAATCAACGAACTGTCAACTCCAAAACACGACACGAGACCAGCGTGGATCCGCCGCACGCTTCTGTCGCTACGTGATGACGACACACTGTGCTTTAACTTTATTCACAAACAAAAATAAACACTAACTCTATTTTAAAAGCATTAAAACTTACAGTATCTATAGGAAATATCTATAACACTTCTCTCCCTGCATTTTATGTCGCATTTTATTTTATTTGGTTTAAGGGTATGTGAGTATTTATTTATTTATTTATTGCGTAGTTGGCTGTTGCTTGAATACAGTCAATTCAATCATTGTGTCCTTAGGCAAGACACTTCGCCCACATTGCCTAGTATGAAAGTGGTGTGTGTGTGTGTGTGTGTGTGTGTGTGTGTGTGTGTGTGTGTGTGTGTGTGTGTGTGTGTGTGAGTGTGATGGTGGTGGTCGGAGGGACCGATGGCGCCGAGTGGCATGGCAGCCGCGCCTCTGTCAGTGTGCCCCAGGGCAGCTGTGGCTACAATAGTATCTTACCATCACCAGGGTATAGAGTGAATGAATAATGCTGTATGAATGAATGCTGAATGAATAACGCTAAATAATGCTCTGTAAAGCGTGTTTGGGGACAGAAAATGTCTGTGAAAGCGCTATATAAATAAATAAATAAATAAATAAATAAATAAATAAAGACTTGAATACGTTAAAAAAAAATATTAAAAACTCTTATCCTTCCCCAAAAATAATCACTCGTCCTGTAAATGTTCAGAACCACATGAAATGTAAAAATGTATAAATGTCTGTGTGTTACTAAAGTGTTACTTTATTGTGAAGCGTTTTTGTGTTACCGTGAAAAGCGCTGTATAAAACCGTATTATTATTATTATTATTATTATTATTATTATTATTATTAGTAGTAGTAGTAGTAGTAGTAGTAGTAGTAGTAGTAGTAGTAGTAGTTATTATTATTACTTAAATAAATGTTTTAAAGATGAAAATAATAAAGAGTCTTACGTGTATTCTAGGCGACAGTTCAGCTGCGCATGCGTACAAAACACACGCGGCTCCATTTTGGATCTAGAGCCCGCAGCTGGAGCAGGAGCTAGGCAGCTTCTTTCGGGTTTTTACTCTTTAAACAGCACATTTTTCTTCGTCCGGCGGTTTTAACACTTCACGGAGAGTCCCCGAAGCCTCCCGGAGCAAGGGGGCCCGAGCTGGTGCGCACATGGACGGGGAAGAGGACGAGTTTATGTCCGGGAACCACTCCGGTACGTGCCGTCTGTATTGTTTACGTGCGAGCCGCGCGCTAAAAACACACAACAGGGTCAAACTTTAGGTTTTAAACGTTGATCTTTTTACGGATTCGTTTAAATTTCACCGGATCCTCTCGAAAGAACCAGAAATAGCGAAGTTGAAACCTTAGACCGCGGGGTGAGCGTCAGGAATGTGCGACAAGGAGGAAGCTACAGCCGCTAAACTAAACACACAACAACTCCCACACAACACAACACAACACTCCCACACAACACAACACAACTCCCACACAACACAACACAACTCCCACACAACACAACACAACTCCCACACAACACAACTCAACTCCCACACAACACAACACAACTCCCACACAACACAACACAACTCCCACACAACACAACACAACACAACTCCCACACACAACACACACAACACAACTCCCACACACACACACAACACAACACAACTCCCACACAACACAACACAACTCCCACACAACACAACACAACTCCCACACAACACAACACAACTCCCACACACAACACAACACAACACAACTCCCACACAACACAAACACAACTCCCACACAACACAACACAACTCCCACACACAACACAACTCCCACACACAACAACACAACTCCCTGTAACATTGGTCTTTAACAGAGTCACGGTGGAGTTTACATGTTCAGGTTTTCTTTGTTTTCTCACATTATGAAGGTAAAAGTTTCACCCGGAGACTTGTGTTTTAAATGGCTCCTTCAGTTTCCCTCAAAAAAAAAAACTAATAAAAGAGTCGTCACAAACACCACGCACAGTCTGGATCAGGTCTAAACCAGGACTAAAGTAAGACTAAACCAGGACTACACCAGGACTAAACCTAGACTAAAACGGGACTAAACTAAGACTAAAACGGGACTAAACCTAGACTAAAACGGGACTAAACCTAGACTAAAACGGGACTAAACCTAGACTAAAACGGGACTAAACTAAGCCAGGAATACATCAGGTCTAAACCAGTACTAAACTAAGACTAAACCAGGACTAAAGTAAGATTAAACCAGGACTACATCAGGTCTAAACCGGGACTACATCAGGTCTAAACCGGGACTACATCAGGTCTAAACCAGGACTACATCAGGTCTAAACCGGGACTACATCAGGTCTAAACCAGGACTACATCAGGTCTAAACCAGGACTACATCAGGTCTAAACCAGGACTACATCAGGTCTAAACCAGGACTACATCAGGTCTAAAACAGAACTAAACTACGCCTAAACCAGGACTAAAGTAAGATTAAACCAGGACTACACCAGGACTAAACCTAGACTCAAATGGGACTAAACTAAGCCTAAACCAGGACTACATCAGGTCTAAACCAGGACTAAACTAAGCCTAAACCAGGACTAACATCAGGTCTAAACTACATCAGGTCTAAAACCAAGACTAAACCGGGACTACATCAGGTCTAAACCGGGACTACATCAGGTCTAAACCGGGACTACATCAGGTCTAAAACCGGGACTACATCAGGTCTAAAACCAGGACTACATCAGGTCTAAACCAGGACTACATCAGGTCTAAAACAGAACTAAACTACGCCTAAACCAGGACTAAAGTAAGATTAAACCAGGACTACACCAGGACTAAACCTAGACTCAAATGGGACTAAACTAAGTCTAAACCAGGAATACATCAGGTCTAAACCAGGACTAAACTAAGCCTAAACCAGGACTACATCAGGTCTAAACTACATCAGGTCTAAACCAAGACTAAATCGGGACTACATCAGGTCTAAACCGGGACTACATCAGGTCTAAACCGGGACTACATCAGGTCTAAACCGGGACTACATCAGGTCTAAACCGGGACTACATCAGGTCTCTACGGATTCAGTAGAGGAGGAGAGGACTGGCTCGAGTGTCTACTCAGGCTTGAAACCGGGACTACATCAGGTTTTACATCAAGGTTTTAAATGATGTGAAGTGTTGAGGATAAACGAGGATTCTGATTTAGGAAGGATGAGCGGCCTGTTTTCCAGCCAGAGGGACTTACTCCTCTGCTCTTCTGACCCTCTCCTCTTCTCATGTGACCCTCTCCTCTTCTCCTCTGACCCTCTCTCTCTTCTCCTCTGACCCTCTTCTCCTCTGACCTTCTCCTCTTCTTCTCTGACCCATGATCCTCTCCTCCTCTGCTCTTCTGACCCTCTCTTCTCCTCCTCTGACCCTCTCTTCTCCTCCTCTGACCCTCTCTTCTCCTCCTCTGACCCATTACCCTTTTCTCTTCTCCTCTGACCCTCTCTCTCCTCTGACCTTCTCCTCTGACCCTCTTCTCCTCTGACCCTCTCCTCTTGACCTTCTCCTCTGACCTTCTCCTCTGACCCATGATCCTCTCCTCCTCTGCTCTTCTGACCCTCTCTTCTCCTCCTTTGCTCCTCGGACCTTCTCCTCCTCCTCCTCCTCTTCTCCTCTGACCCTCTCTTCTTCTCCTCTTCTCCTCTGACCCTCTCTTCTTCTCCTCTTCTCTTCTTCTCCTCTTCTCCTCTGACCCTCTCCTCCTCTGACTTTCTCCTCTGCCTCATTATTTTCCGACTGATTTGCGTTTGGTGTTTTCCAGACGACGGAGGTGGAACTCCAGTCCAAGACGAGCACCCGCCGTCCGACGCCGACGACGCCAGGAGCGACCGGCATCAGTCAGAGGTGCGGCAGAGTGGTTCGCCCCGTCTCCTCCCTCTCACCAGGAGGTTGTGGGTTCGACTCCTGGATCTCTCTCCTCTGTCTTATCGTTTAATTGTTGTCGTTTTGTTTGTGTTTTTTTTCCAGGATGAGGGCAGCAACGACGAGGCAGCTCAGCCGATGGACACCAGCGGAGCCATGAGCGATTCCGACGGAGAGACGGCGCGAAAAGACCCGGACGACGACAGCGAAAACGAGGCGGAGAAAGAACGGGAGGAACACAGCGAAAACGAAACCAAAGACCGGGACCCGAGCAGCGACTTCGAACAGACGAAAGAGCGCGACGACGCCAGCGGGAGCGACGACGACGACAACAACGAGGAATCCCCGCGGAAACGGCCGTCCAGCGTCTCCGAGGACGAGTCCCCGACCAAGCGCGCCCAGTCCGACCAGGAGGGGGAGCCGTCGAGCTCGCCCAAGCGCCGCCGCGGCAGCACGTCGGACGCGGACGGGGACGGGGAGGGCGCCGGCGGAACGGGGAACGGCAACAAAGCGGCGTCCGACTCGGAATCGGAAAAACACGACAGCGACTCGGACGGAGGAGTGAGGAAGAAAAAGAGACTGTTGGACTCGGACGACGAAGAGGAGGAGAGGGAGAAGAAGGGAGAGGAGGGAGAGAGGGAAGGAGGAGGAGGAGAAGAGGAGGGAGAGAAAGAGTCCGGGAAGTGGAAGGGAGTGATGCAGTCGGACAGCGAGGAGGAGGAGGGAGAGAGGACGAAGGCTCACAGCGACGGAGAACAAGACGGAGGACAGAAGGACAGCGACGATGAAGACAGACCAGGTATCCGCAAGATTTTATGTCCCGTTACATTTTCAATTTTAAAATCCCGCTGAATTTCCCACTTTTTTTAATGTTTTAGATGCAAAAAAATAATAATAAAATCAGCTTTTAAATATTCAGCACAAATATTTTCAGATTGTTGTAGAATTTTTTAACTCTTATTTTGAATTTTAGTTGTTGAAATTTTAAGTCAATATGTTTCAAATGAAAAAAAATTAAAAAAAATCAGCTTTTAAATATTCAGCACAAATATTTTCAGATTGTCATAGAATTTTTTAACTCTTATTTTGAATTTTAGTTGTTGAAATTGTAATTATACTTTTTCAATATGTTTCAAATGAAAAAAATAAATCTGCTTTTAAATATTCAGCACAAATATTTTCAGATTGTTGTAGAATTTTTTAACTCTTATTTTGAATTTTAGTTGTTGAAATTTTTATTATACTTTTTCAATATGTTTCAAAGGAAAAAAAAAATCAATTTTTAAATATTCAGCGCAAATATTTTCCAATTGCTGAATTTTTTAACTCTGAAAAAACATGTTTGAATTATTTTTATTTAGAATTTTATTTGTTGAAATTTTAAGTATACTTTTTCAATATGTTTCAAATGAAAAAAAAAATTTATAAATCACCTTTTAAATATTTAGCACAAATATTTTATGGTTGCTGAATTTTTTAACTCTCAAAAAAGATGTTTGAATTATTTTTATTCTGAATTTTACCTGCTGAAATTTTAAGTGTACTTTTTCAAAATGTTTCAAATTCAGAATAAAATTTCAGCTTTTAAATATTCAGCACAAATATTTTCAGATTGTCGTAGAATTCTTTAACTCTTATTCTGAATTTTAGTTGTTGAAATTTTAAGTCAATATGTTTCAAATTTAAAAAAATAAATAAATCACCTTTTAAATATTCAGCACAGATATTTTGTAGTTGCTGATTTTTTTAACTCTGAAAAACTTTGAATTATTTTTATTCAGAATTTTAGTTGTTGAAATTTTAATTATACTTTTTCAATATGTTTCAAAAAAAAAAAATCTGCTTTTAAATATTCAGCGCAAATATTTTCAGTTTGTTGTAGAATTTTTTTAACTCTGAAAAAACATGTTTGAATTATTTTTATTCTGAATTTTAGTTATTGAAATTTTAATTATACTTTTTCAGTATGTTTCAAATAAAAAATAAATAAATCACCTTTTAAATATTCAGCACAGATATTTTCCGGTTGCTGAATTTTTTAACTCTGAAAAAAGATGTTTGAATTATTTTTTATTCTGAATTTTAGTTGCTGAAATTTTCAGTATACTTTTTCAATATGTTTCAAATTCAGAATAAAATTTCAGCTTTTAAATAATCACCGCAAATATTTTCAGATTGTCGTAGAATTTTTAACTCTGAAAAAGCATGTTTGAATTATTTTTATTCTGAATTTTAGTTGTTGAAATTTTAAGTATACTTTTTCAATATGTTTCAAATTTTAAAAAAATCAGCTTTTAAATTCAGCGCAAATATTTTCCAATCGATGAATTTTTTAACTCTGAAAAAAGATGTTTGAATTATTTTTCATTCTGAATTTTAGTTATTGAAATTTTCAGTGTACTTTTTCAATATGTTTCAAATTCAGAATAAAATTTCAGCTTTTAAATAATCGGCGCAAATATTTTCAGATTGTCGTAGAATTTTTTAACTCTGAAAAAACATGTTTGAATTATTTTTATTCTGAATTTTAGTTGTTGAAATTTGAAGTATACTTTTTCAGTATATTTCAAAAAAAATAAATAAATCAGCTTTTAAATATTTGGCAGAAATATTTTACGATTGCTGATGAATTTTTTAACTCTCAAAAAAGATGTTTGAATTATTTTTATTCTGAATTTTACCTGCTGAAATTTTAAGTTTACTTTTTCAATATGTTTCGAAATTAAAAAAATAAATAAATAAATCACCTTTTAAATATTTAGCACAAATATTTTCCGATCGCCATGGAATTTCTCACTTTGAATTTTTTTAACTTTGAAAAAAAAGATGCTTGAACTATTTTTATGAATTGTTGTGAATGTCAGTTGCTGAAATTTTAAGTGTAAGTTTTCAAAACATTTATTCAATCACAGGTGGTTTTATAGACTGAAAAATACTTAGAAAAACAAACACTGTGACTGTGAGCGGGGTCGCCTCTCCACAGATCTGACCTGTGACATGGTTCGGTTTGGTCTCCGTGGAGATAAAAAGGTTTAATGCCAAACTGTGAAACATTAAACCCACAACATATTGCACCATTACTTACTTATCGTTCACGTTTTTGTTTTGTTTTTTTCCAGTTAAAAGGAAAAAGGCCATTTTGTCGGACAGCGAAGACGAGGAGGAGGAAAAGACGGACAAACCCGGTGAGCTGGAGCTGGTTTTGGATTTGGGTTGAAACGATATTCAGCAAAACTGTCTCCGGTCTGTGTCCCTGTTCTAGTGTCCTCAACAAAAACGGCTCTGGAGCTGAGTTTTGTTCAGATGTTATGATTTTAAAAAGGGCCAACGTAGGGGTGGGCGATATATCGATATTTTAAATATATCGAGATAGTTTTTAAACTCGATATGAATTCTGACATATCATATATATCGATATAATGCTTATATTCAGTTCTGATTTCGCCGCTTCGCTTGTTTACCTTCTCTCTCGTCGCCTCCGCCTCCCTGATTTTGTTCGCTCGTGTCTCCTTCACTCGTCACTGTCGCCGTGAACGCCGAAAGTTGGTGCCAGTGAAAAACTTCAAGCACCACGAACCTTTTCCACCATTTACAGACAAAACTATCAGCAGCACATCCTCATGTTCCATCGAGTCGCGTCCTTTAGTCCGAAAGAAGCTAAACGAGCTGAGCTGCATGAGACGTGCTGTTTATGCAAATGAGTCATGCGCTTAAGTTTCGTTTCTGTAAAATGTAAACACACGTGCGCAAAACAAAATTATTATCTCAAACGGGCTGATGTGGCTTTAGAGTCGTTATGCTTTATATATTGTAAAGTTTAGCAATGTAAAGTTTATTTATGCAGAATATTTTAATGAATAATCTGCTGCAGTGTCACTTGTACAATAGTGTTTGGAAACGTTGGGTTTGATCTGCAGTGGATTGTGGGATTAAACCTCAGAGCTCCTCACTGCTGGTTAATAACATGTGTCTGTTAAAATAAGGAACATCCTGAGCTTCTTCTGCTAAATGAGCCCATGTTTATGATTATGGTCTGGATAACAGAGTTAATGCAAAGATGAACTTGTGTTGAGTTGTTTTATTTATGAATGAAAAGAAGAAAATATGTATTATTTCTTTTATTTTACAGTAAAATTATTATTTATGTAATTAGGTTTTTTTGTAATCTTAAATGTTCCTGTATGAACTGTCGACCTCTTACACTTCAGTTAAAAAAAAAAGGACCTTGTGGAATTTGGAAGATTTGTTTTTGCAGTTTTTTCAGTTTTAGGGGGTTATTTTTTCTTGAACATATATCGAGATATATATCGTATATCGAGATATAGCAAAATATATCGAGATATATTTTTTGATCCATATCGCCCAGCCCTAGGCCAACGTGACTCTGTTTTCTGATCAGGTCGATCTAATGTCGTTTTCTCATCACAAACAAACCTGGAGCTGTGTTTTGTTTCTTTCTCACATGTTTAACACACAAACCGTGCAGCAACTGAACAAAAAAAACACTCCGTTCCACCTTGTGATGTCACAGGAAGTGCTCCGCTCTGTTTTTAAACTCCACACACCTTCACTAGGATCGTCTGGGTCATTTCAGTCCTGGAAGTTTCTCTTATGATCTCGACTGAACTAAAGGGAAAAGGTAGTTGTTAGACCCGGTTTAGACCTGGTTTAGTCCTGGGTTAGTCCTGGGTTAGTCCTGGGTTAGTCCTGGGTCAGTCAGTCCTGGGTCAGTCCTGGTTTAGTCCTGGGTTAGTCCTGGGTTAGTCCTGGGTTAGACCTGGGTTAGACCTGGTTTAGTCCTGTTCTGGTTTAGTCCTGCTTTAGTCCTGCTTTAGTCCTACTTTAGTCCTGGTTTAGACCTGGTTTAGACCTGGTTTAGTCCTGTTCTGCTTTAGACCTGGTTTAGACCTGGTTTAGACCTGGTTTAGTCCTGGTTTAGTCCTGGTTCAATACTGATTCAATACTGGTTCAATACTGATTTTAGTTCTGGTTTAGACCTGGTTTAGTCCTGATTTAGTTCTGGTTCAGACCTGGTTGGTAAAAAAAAGGAGCTGTTCACTTGAGAACTACCACTTCATGACATCACAAGGTGGAACAGAGTGTTGCTCAAACACGTGTGAATGAAACAAAACACAAGTCCAGCTCCGTTTGTGAGGAGTAAACGACATCAGAACACGACTTAAAGCTCAGAAGAGTCAGTTTCATGTGATTCAGGACCTAAAAAACTAAAATCACTAAATATTAAAGGTGATAATAAATAAAATAAGCACCAAAAATAGAAAGAATAATATAAACATAAATGTAAAAGTGAAAATAAAGTGTCTGTGTTGTGTTCGGCGGCAGTGAAGAGGAGCAGGGCCGTGTCCGACGGCGACGACTCCGACTCCGCCTCCTCCGCCGCCGGACCCGACAAATCTCTGGCGGCGAAACTGCGCGAGCTCGGGTCGGCGAGCGAGGACGAGGAAGAGGAGGAGCCCAAGACGGAGGTGAAGAAGGACGAGAAGGCTCTGTTCGGGAGCGACAGCGACTCCGGCGACGAAGAGGAGTGAGTGACACGTACTGAGAGAAAGAGAGAGAGAGACAGGGATGTCTGTCCCTCTCACCTGTCTGTCCCTCTCACCTGTCTGTCCCTCTCACCTGTCTCTCACCTGTCCTGTCTCTCACCTGTCTGTCCCTCTCACCTGTCTCTCACCTGTCTCTCACCTGTCTCTCACCTGTCTGTCCCTCTCACCTGTCTGTCCCTCTCACCTGTCTGTCCCTCTCACCTGTCTCTCACCTGTCCCTCTCACCTGTCTCTCACCTGTCTCTCACCTGTCTCTCACCTGTCTCTCACCTGTCACCTGTCTCTCACCTGTCTCTCACCTGTCTCTCACCTGTCTCTCACCTGTCTGTCCCTCTCACCTGTCTCTCACCTGTCTGTCTCTCACCTGTCTCTCACCTGTGTCTCTCACCTGTCTGTCACCTGTCTCTCACCTGTCTGTCTCTCACCTGTCTGTCTCTCACCTGTCTGTGTCTCTCACACCTGTCTCTCACCTGTCTCTCACCTGTCTGTCTCTCACCTGTCTCTCCTGTCTCTCACCTGTCTCTCACCTGTGTCTCTCACCTGTGTCTCTCACCTGTCACCTGTCTCTCACCTGTCTCTCACCTGTCTCACCTGTCTCTCACCTGTGTCTCTCACCTGTGTCTCTCACCTGTCTCTCACCTGTCTCTCTCACCTGTGTCTCTCACCTGTGTCTCTCACCTGTGTCTCTCACCTGTCTGTCTCTCACCTGTCTGTCACCTGTCTCTCACCTGTCTCTCACCTGTGTCTCTCACCTGTGTCTCTCACCTGTGTCTCTCACCTGTCTCTCACCTGTGTCTCTCACCTGTGTCTCTCACCTGTGTCTCTCACCTGTGTCTCTCACCTGTCTCTCACCTGTCTCTCACCTGTCTCTCACCTGTCTCTCACCTGTCTCTCTCTCACCTGTCTCTCTCACCTGTGTCTCTCACCTGTCTCTCACCTGTGGTGTTGTTTGTTCAGGAAGATGATCGCTGACATCTTTGGAGAGTCTGGAGACGAGGAAGAGGAGGAGTTCACTGTGAGTTTACGTCTGTTCTCTGTGAAGAATCACATGTCCCACAGATGCCGACAGCGACGGGCCGCGACCTCCACGATGAGGCCAGCGCGTTTCAGTCGAGTCGAGAGCCGCCGGTCGTGTGGCAGTGACAGCGTCAAAAGCATCAGAGCCACAGCCACGTTTCACAAGCTTTGACATAAATCTGCACAATTTGAGTAAAAGTCCAGTGTCTCCTTCCCTCTGTCTGTGTGTCCCGCTCCCCGTCTCCTCTTTCTCTCCTCTTCTGCTTCTTGTCATGATAATCCAAGTTACGAAAAGTAAAGCTTCACTCATAAACAGTGAGAAAATAATGCTCAAGTCCAGATTTAGCGCACGGACATCGCACATGTTTCTGTTGCCAACCGTAATTTAGCTTTAATATATTATCCAAATGCTTTCAACTTTAACTCTTTCCCCCATGAAGACGACATTTGTCTGTTTCCTTAATGACGACTTCTGACTCCTCCACTGTTTCACTAAAGACGTGATTTGACGACCTTTAGAAATGGTTCGGTTTTTCACATTTAAACAGAGACTGTGATTGGTGGAGCCACTACAACCCACACTAGACTGACCAATAGGATTCAAGGATATGTTTTCGCAGATTTTTTTCCGAAGTTAATCAAAGTAATGACGATTGAAGCTTCCGGAAAAAACACAACACGAAACACGTGCAATGGAAAGATCGCGGCGCTGCGGCGCACAGTTTTAGAAATAATGAGGAGCGGACGTATTTTATGGATAAATTTAGAGAAAGTGACTTTTATTGATTTCAAAGTGATGATGAAGTTGAATATAAAGTGGAAAACGGCGACAGTGACGGACTTACAGAGAGTGAATCTTACGATGGTGAGAAAGCAGCTGATGCGTCTGTGTGGATCCTGCGATGTCCAAACAAACTATCAAGGCTTTATACTCGATTATGAACCAAAATTGCTCTGAAATCTGGATGTTGCTCAGGCGAGTCCTTTAAAATATTTGAGTCTTTTTTTCCAAGATGCGACGTATAACAGAATCACTACAGAAAAAAACACTTATGTGGAGCTCTGCACACGAGAAAATAACCAAGATGACAAATACTGGACACACACTGACGGGGAAGAGTTTTATTATTATATTATAATAAGCTAAATGAGTTGAATAAATTAAATAAGTTGAATAAGCTAAATGGAAAAAATGAATTAGGTGCACACAGGTGAACAACAGGTAAAAACAGGTGAACACTTGGCTCTACTGTATCTGGTGATATGAAATCTGTTTAAATACTTTGACAAAGTATATTTTTTAATTTTTTTACGAATACAGTACTCAGAACATGCAGATATCAGAAGCTGAATGTAGTTTTTTGTTTTCGATTTTGCACCTGAGCAGGTAAACTCTCATTTTCAGTGAGTTGTTATAAACCTGTAAATGAGTTGAATCACATTTAAACATCCAGAAATGAAGAGTTCAGAGTCTGAAGTTTCCAGAGATACAAATATGTCTGTGTTACAATTAAGTTCATGAGTGTAAAATTAATTTATAATCACTGGTGGAAGTCTGTTTTCTTTTATGCAGTGATGCTCTAAGTTTAGCCCTAGTAACACATGTATGGGTTGTTCCTAGTCGGCGTCCGGGGGGGAAAGAGTTAAATGTGGATTTCTCCAGGATTATTGGTCCTGTCGACACGAGATAAAAACTGTAGTGATCACCCTCCACCCCACACCCAGCTTTTAACACCTGCCCATGTGTTCAGTAACATGGAAGAAGATGGAAGTGAAAAATAAATCCTGATTTTTTTTTTTTCTTTTTTCCCCCATATCGCCCAACCCTGCTTTTAGGTTTAATATACTGTACTCTACAAACTCAATCCAGCTTTTAAATGTGAATTTCTCCAGAATTATTGTCCTTTCAACATGAAATAAAAACTGTAGTGACCCTGAAACACTGACCTTTTTTAAATTAAATTGGAAGAAGATCAAATTGAAACTTGAGATCGAGCAATACGGGGGGCCCTAATAATATGTGTGTGTGTGTGTGTGTGTTGTTCAGGGCTTTAACCAGGAGGATCTGGAGCAGGAGAAGAAGGAAACTCCACAAACGCAACAACAACAAGACGACTCGGACTCAGACGAAGGAGTCGACCGCAGCGGACAAGAGTCAGTATAACCACAACTCGAACCACAACCCCAGTTCTGCACCAGGAGTCAGTATTTCTAGAACCAGAACCAGAACTAGAACTTTAACCACAGCGACAGGCGGCTCTGTAGGTTTCAAGCTGTGAAAACATCCTCTGGTCGTAACAGTTAAACAATAGACTTTTTTGTTTTGGCCCTGTACATTTGGGGAATTTCCAGTTCATGATTGTCTGTGTCAGAATGTCTGTAGATTTGGTGATTGGGCCGATTTATGAAGCAAACAAACTCCACAAAGGATAAACATTCTTCCATGAACAATTTATCCACAACTATCAAGAGAAGAAAGAGCAAAACTTAAAGGAAGAACAATGACCACACATTAGTCACACAAGAAACTAAACTCATGTTATGATCCTAGAGATGTCGAACATTTAAACTGCACAAATCTCTCTGTCTATGCAAATATCGACCAGCCTGATTCGTCTGACCTCGCAGCGTTAGAATTCGTTCACTTGACGGTGGGCGGGTGCTTTTTTTATTTAACCAATTGCTGTTATTTGGTCCTGACGTATGTAACGCACCAAAACAAGTGAAGAGTGAAAATCCTTAATCTCGGGAATCAGTCGTTGCCAACACAGAATGTCTGTCTTCGTCTACATCCATCTCGACGCTTTGTTTACCAAAGGGACCCAGACAGACGCCACGAGTTTGACGTCACGGCTTCACCGCTCACAGCTGATTGGCCGGAGCGCGGTCTACAACTTCCGGGGTTCTTGTAAAACGTCTAGTGTAGGGGTGTCAAACGTCCGGCCCTCCGAGACCTTTAATCTGGCCCTCGTCCGATTTTCTACTCAAATGTTTTAATTATGTTTTAAAACCTAAAGACAGAATTTGCAATGTTTCGCACACGGTTCACAGTCAAACCCTCTGATGTGCCGCAGACCTGCAACTAGAAATAATAGATTTACAGTTACTATATTTGTGAGCAGGTTTTCTCTGTAATGAACATTAATAAAACAAATCTGCGCTCAAAACTAAAACGCAAACACTTGAATGACATTCTGAAGTTAACAGCTCCTCAGGACACGGTGTCTGATGTTGATGCACTTGTAGAGACTAAAAGATCCAAGTTTCAGGAGCAAAAAAAAAACATGATTAAATTCTATGAAATGCAAACAAGTCCACTGTTTCACTAAAGACGTGATTTGACGACCATTAGAAACAGTTCGGTTTTTCACATGTAAACAGAGGCTGTGATTGGTCGGGGCCACTACAACCCACACTAGACTGACCAACAGGATACAAGGATATGTTTTTGGCATTTTTTTTTTCCGAAGTTAATCGAAGTAGTGACGATTGTAGCTTCCAGAAAAAAAACACAACACGAAACACGAGCAATGGAAAGATCGCGGCGCGCAATTTTAGAAATAATGAGGAGCGGATGTATTTTATGGATACGTTTAGAGAAAGTGACTTTTATAGATTTCAAAGTGATGATGAAGTTGATTATAAAGTGGAAAACAGCGACAGCAACGGACTTTCAGAGAGTTAAAACATGTTAAAACATTGTGTTGAAATTGCATTTTTCTTAGTTTCATGTTGTTCATAATATCATAATATTTTGTAAAAGAAAGAGCTCTTCATTTCTGTAATAATAGATTTGTGTTTCTCTGCACAAATATTTGGACTTATTCTTATTTTTGGGGGTTTATATGACATGAATTTTCTGATCCGGACACTTTGGGATCAAAGTAGGTTGGACACGATCCCCGGACCAAAACGGGTGTGACACTCCTGGACTTGTGTATTCTGATTTGTGACCTAGTCTCTGGAGAGAAATGAAATCGAGCAGAGGCACTAGGTGGCGTCAGACTGGCTAAAAAAAAATCCACATCAATAGTAGAATGAGTCTGAGTGAACAAGTTCCTTCTGTTTTCTTCAGGATCAGAACATGAGTTGAGTTTGTTGTGTGACTAATGTGTCGTCGTTGTTTCCTTTAAGTTTTGTTCTTTCTTCTCTTGATCGTTGTGGATAAATTGTTCATGTTAGAATGTTTCTCCTTTGTGGAGTTTGTTGGTTGAAGATTTGGTGATGGGGCAGATTTATGAAGAATATGACACATTTACACAGAAAAACATTAACCGAAAGTTCCACAAATCTACAGCGGGACACTTCAGGTTGTTGTGAAAAAGTTTTTAGGGTTTTAGGGCGCAGAATTACACCGTCTACCTATTTATACTAAAAGAGGACCCCCAAATTTGAAGTGTGGACCGTTCCAGGCAGAGCGATGACGTATCCGTAGAAACAGGCAGGTGAAAAGTGACACAGCGCAGCTTTTATTGAGTCTGCGTTTTTTTGTTTCCAGCACCAGTTTCATGTCGGACTTTGACATCATGCTGGCGAAGAGAAAAGCCATGAACAGCAAGAGACGGAAACACCGCGACGGGGGAACGTTCATCAGCGACGCCGACGACGTGGTCAGCGCCATGATCAACAAGATGAACGAGGCCGCCGAGGTGAGCCCGATGCCCTCCCACGCTCCTCGAGTCCTGTGTGTCAGATGCCCTCCCAGATGTGGCGCTGGCTTTGAGAAATACAGCAGCAGAATGTATCTTGTCACTGAAATAAAAGTAGAAATGGGGAAAAAAAAAAACATTTGTGGATCTGACTTTGGGAGATTTCTTATTTAACTTTTTTTTTTTTCTTTTTTTTCCAGGAGGATCGGACACTGAACAGTCAGAAGAAACCTGCTCTGAAGAAACTCACGCTCCTGCCACAAGTCGTCATGCATCTCAAGAAGTAAGAGCAGAATCCTTCTAGTTCAGGGGTGGGAAATTATTTTGACAGAAAATATTGTGGAGGGAGGGCAAAAAGCTTTGAAGAGTTTGTTATGTTTATGACTAGTGATGTGGAGATGAAGCCCCATGAAGCACTGAAGCGTTCCATCTAACAGTCGAGTTTCAGCTGACGTCATTGTTATTAAAAGTCTGCGTTGCTGCTGGGAAATATTTTGGTCGGAGGCAAGAAACACGGTAGCGTCAAACACAGTGTGTAACCTCGCGTATTTCTCCCCGATAATGGTAAATTCCTGCTGCATTATCAGATGCACAAATAGAAACACGGAAGAAGGAAAATGTCTTTTTCGTATTCTGAGTGAAAAGAACCACTAACGGTGAATTAAACGACTTTCAAACATCCGCAGAGCAAACGTAGAAGATCCTAACAAACCGTGGACTCAACAAGTTCAACAACACATCCAGACTCTTGGAGGTTTTCATCTTTTCTGCTGTGAATGGCCCAGGAGTTTCCACCAAGTCATTGTGGATGTCGCCCAAGTGAATATTTGTCCAGGTAGTTGGAGATTCTGACCAGAAATGTGGTTTGGTCCAGACTCTGTCGGGGTTGAAAAGGTGATTTGTCGTCCGTCGATGTTTATGACCAATTTGTGGTCAAATGGTCTTGGGTCCTCTGCTGTTAGAGTGGATCAATAACCGGGATCAATACACTTTACGTGCTTTCTCTCTCCGTCCGTCATGTTGAATTAGTGTTTCTTGCCGCCGACCAAAATAATTCCCAGCATGAAACGCTCGTTTTTGTCAACAATGAAACTCGCCTGTTTACTCGACTCTTGAGCCGACGCTTCAAGGTGTTTCATTTGCTCCACAGCGACATCAAGTGTCTAAAAAATATATAACAGGCAGAGTGAAAATAAAACAATCAACATGATCATCGAGGTTCTGATGGAAAGATTTATATTGAACAAATGAACCATTAAATATTTGAAGTGTGATAAGAGTCTGTGTTCATGATTTAATGGTCAGGTTAAAAGAAAAAGTAGACACTTCACCTGATTTATTTATTTTATTTTAATTTTTTACAAGAAATATATTAGACCGGGGGAAACAGTGTGTTGTCAAATTTGTGTATTTAGTAATAATGTTTATTTTATGACGTCATTATTACTATAAACCTTATTAGGAGATATCAGCTCAAAATGTTTCCAAACAGGGGAAAATATAATTTTTTTCTCAAACAGAATGTCCCAAACTCGCAATAACCCAACACCACAAAATGTTTGGGGTGAATCCGTTGTGTTTCTTGGCCCTTATGTTTTGAATCGCGCCAAATCCGCGAACCACTTCCTGAAGCGGTCATATGGTTCGGACGGTTCACGAGGCTTCGAATGTCACCACGTACGTCACCGATAAAAACCTCGATACGCTTCACCAAAGACTTTCTGGATTAATCGACACGGACGACACATCACTAGTTATGACGGCAATGAAAAAGTGAGGTTGCATTACAAAAAATGTCATTAAAAACACCTCTAAAATAAAAACGATGCAGCTTTTGTCCACGCATGAGGTCAAATGGTCAAATATGTTTATTTTCTAATTCCAAACTGAGCTTAAACGTTCTGGTCAGAATCGACCAAAGGACTGAATGTGGAGCTGGACAATGCCCAGGTCTGGACTAGTTTGTGTGCTGATGACAGGTTCGACTACCGTATTTTTCGGACTATAAGGCGCAATATCAATGATGTTGAATATTTTCATACATAAGTCGCACCGGATTATGAGGCACATTAAGCGAAACAAACAGACGACACAGATCGTGGTGTACTTTGCTCGGCGTTGTCTCTGTTTTAGTGAATATGGTTTATGAATGTGAATGTGGATGGAGCATTTGAGTCGTCCACATAGGAAATAAAAAAAAAACAACTTAAATATTCATTGAGTAATAATGTGTTTAATGCAGCTTTGACAAATTTGTTTATGTTTTATAGAAACGAAACTTAAAACTACATGACTCATTTGTATAAACTATAAGAGCTGATAAAAACGCCTCGCTCCTGGTGCGTCTGATGCGCTTCAGCTCCTTTCAGACTAAGGACCATAAACTGGGATTTACTCCGCGAGGCTCCTGAGTACAGCAGCCGTAATGTTCCGACAATCTATCAAGCATCGCGGCTTCGTCGTTTACCAAAGTCGTACATTTTGACAGGTTTTTAAGTGCTGTGTATCACAGAGAATCGTTTCGATGTCAGTAAGAGCACTGGATTATAAAGCACTGTTGATTTTTGAGAAAATGAAAGGATTTTAAGTGCCCTTTATAGTCCGAAAAATACGGTACTCATTTTACTAAAACACAGACTTTGATTTAAAGAAAATAAAAAATTTAAAAAAATCACGCTCGTCCTCCCAGTTTTGTCAGTGCGCCGGAGTCAGTTACTCTAGAAACATAGGGAGTTTGATTGACAACCTAACAGCACATGGATAACCAGGTCGCCTCTGAGTTTACTGTAAAATTATTAAGCTACTAGCATACTAACTGCACACTTCCTGCTTTTCGGATTATAAAGGCTTTAGAATTAGATGCAGACAGAACACAGTGTGCTTATTTTGAGGCAAGACACATTTTGCTCAAATACACTGGGAAAACCAATACACAGGCTGTTTCTGAAGCTGTCGTTGTGCTCTTGAGCAAACACTTCTCCTCTGTGTGTTTTAGACAGGACTTAAAGGAGACGTTCATCGACAGCGGCGTGATGTCGGCCATTAAAGAGTGGATCAGTCCTCTGCCCGACAAATCCCTGCCTGCGCTCCGGATCAGAGAGGAGCTGCTCCGGATCCTGCAGGAGGTACAGACACACGTGTACAGACGCACGTGTACAGACACACGTGTCACTGCGGGAGGTACAGACGCACGTGTCCCTGCGGGAGGTACAGACGCACGTGTACAGACACACGTGTCACTGCGGGAGGTACAGACACACGTGTACAGACACACGTGTTACTGCGGGAGGTACAGACACACGTGTACAGACACATGTGTACAGACACACGTGTACAGACACACGTGTCACTGCGGGAGGTACAGACACACGTGTACAGACACACGTGTCACTGCGGGAGGTACAGACGCACGTGTCACTGCGGGAGGTACAGACGCACGTGTACAGACACACGTGTACAGACACATGTGTACAGACACACGTGTACAGACACACGTGTCACTGCGGGAGGTACAGACACACGTGTCACTGCAGGAGGTACAGACGCACGTGTACAGACGCACGTGTACAGACGCACGTGTACAGACGCACGTGTCACTGCGGGAGGTACAGACGCACGTGTCCCTGCGGGAGGTACAGACGCACGTGTACAGACGCACGTGTCCCTGCGGGAGGTACAGACGCACGTGTACAGACGCACGTGTCCCTGCGGGAGGTACAGACGCACGCGTCCCTGCGGGAGGTACAGACGCACGCGTCCCTGCATCGACGTTCAGACTAGACCCTGCACTGAGGGACCTGCAGGACCCGAAGCAGATTTTGAAAACTCACTGTGGGCGCGGGCGGGAGCGGGACGACACGAGGCGGGAGCGGGACGACACGAGGCGGGAGCGGGACGACACGAGGCGGGAGCGGGCGGGTGGGATGATAAACTACAGTCCCACAAACTAAATATGAGTGTAAAGACTGTCATGAATCATTTGTGCTGGAGAGATTTTATTTGGCATTAAAACATTTTAAGTACCAGACTGTCCCCAGTCCCGTACATCACACAGACCGACTGAGACCAAGACCAGAGCGAGACCAGAGCGGGACTGAGACCAGGACCAGAGCGGGACTGAGACCAGGACAGAGCGGGACTGAGACCAGGACCAGAGCGAGACCAGAGCGGGACTGAGAGCGAGACCGGAGGCTCAGAGCCCACGGCAGGGCAGGCTCAGAGTCAAAGCCCAGAGTCCACACTGGTTCCGCTCTGGTCCTGGTCTGGTCCCGGACCTGGATCAGTCCTGGTTCAGTCCAGCATCACAGTCACTGAAGTCACGTAAACGGGAAACGGTCCTTATCCCTTTTTTACATTTTTCATTTAAACACCAACCTGAAAACTGAAAAAATGAATCATTATCTGTTTTTTTTTCGTTTCATTTTGGTTTTGGAGACAAATAATGAAGAAAACTCTTGTTTTTTCATTTTCTTATTTTTGGTTTTATATTGAAAAAGGAACGAACGAATGATACACGGATTAACCAGGACTAAAACAGAACTAAAACAGGATTTAGCCAGGACTTAATTATGCTGCCGGACATAAAACCGGTCTGTGGCGCAAAAAAGATTGGGGACCACTGGTTTAGACGATTCCGTTCCACTTCTCTGTGTTTAGAGCTTAAGAAAGTGAACGTTCGCATCTTGTGGGACTTGCAGGCGGGAGCGGGACTGAAAATTCTGTCCCGCGCAGACCTGTAGTTCCAACTGCAGCCTCAAGTGATCCTAATCTGATTGTTTTCACCCCTATGCGACCTGTATCTGATCTGTTAATGACTGTTTGAACGACAGTGCTAATGCCAACGTGTGTGTGTGTGTGTGTGTGTGTGTGTGCAGCTGCCCAGTGTGAGCCAGGAGACGCTGAAGCACAGTGGGATCGGACGAGCTGTGATGTTCCTCTACAAACATCCCAAAGAGTCGAGAACCAACAAAGACCTGGCCCTGAAGCTCATCAGTACGACACAAACCCGAACCCAACATCTGCACACCTTTAAAAATACACTACACACGTTTAAAAAATGTCTTTATTCATAATCGTTGTGTTTTCAGACGAGTGGTCGCGGCCGATCTTTGGCCTCACGTCGAACTACAAAGGAATGACGAGAGAAGAGCGACAGCAGAGAGACCTTGGACCAGCAGATGCCCCAGAGACGCAGGCTCAGGTACCACCCAAGACACGCACATGCTTTAAGATAGCGCTGACGCAAAACTACAACACGGTTTAAGATAAAACTACAACACGGTTTAAGATAAAACTACAACACGGTTTAAGATAAAACTACAACACGGTTTAAGCTAAAACTACAACATGGTTTGAGATAAAACTACAACACGGTTTAAGATAAAACTACAACACGGTTTAAGCTAAAACTACAACAACGATTTGAGACAAAACTACAACAACGGTTTGAGACAAAACTACAACATGGTCTGAGATAAAACTACAATGTGGTTTAAGATAAAACTACAACACAGTTTGAGATAAAATTACAACACGGTTTAAGATAAAACTACAGCACAGTCTGAGATAAAACTACAACACGGTTTAAGCTAAAACTACAACACGGTTTAAGATAAAACTACAACACGGTCTGAGTTAAAACTATGACACAGTCTGAGATAAAACTACAAAACGGTTTAAGATGAAACTACAAAACGGTTTGAGATAAAATTACAACACGGTTTAAGCTAAAACTACAACACAGTTTAAGCTAAAACTACAAAACGGTTTAAGCTAAAACTACAACACGGTTTAAGCTAAAACTACAACACAGTTTAAGCTAAAACTACAACACGGTTTAAGCTAAAACTACAACACGGTTTAAGCTAAAACTACAACACGGTTTAAGCTAAAACTACAACACGGTTTAAGCTAAAACTACAACACGGTTTAAGCTAGCACTGAGAAAAAACTACAAAACTCAATTGAATCCGTCTCTGTCACATCTGGTGTCAGTAAAAATGCGAATTTAGTAACAGACGATATCGACAGGGTTGTGTTGGTTTGGATCAGGATTAAAAGTCGATAAGTGAGAACACGGTTTAAGCTACAACCAACAACAACAAACAAATCCTAATTAATACTGACAGTGATTTTAAGAGACATTTTGTTGTACAAGTACTTTTTGTTTAGTTTCTAACACCTGAACCTGTGTCTCCAGAGTCTTGACACAGCCAAGTCTCATCCCATATATTTACTTATTTATTTAATTGAAATTATTATTATTTTTTTAAACTTTGTTTTTATTAAGTTTAAGATATCTCAGCTTGTACATTATAGTCAGTTACAAAGCGGTTACATATATGTTAAAAGGGACAAATGCACAAGTAAGTATTAATATAGAAAAAAAAAAAAACAATAGCAAAAACAGAGGCAGTTATACATTTACAATAATAATAACGGATTAAAAAAAACAAAACATAATAATAAAAAAGACATGCTAACCTTGTTGCAATAAAAGAGCAAACATGGGACTCCATCTCTTTAATGAAAAGCTCTGTTAAGTCTCAAAGAAGTGATTTGCTCCATCCCATAAATCTCTCCCACCTTTTAAATCCATATATGGTAAGTGGGCGGGTCAGGGCACAACCATTTAATAGTTATACATTTAAGTGCAGCAGTCAGTAAAATTCTTAAGAGGTATTTTTTATCGTTTCCAAAACCATCTGGGATTAACCCTAAAATGGCAAGCTGTGGTATTTGAATTTTTATGAGCTAATTTAAATAAATGTTTTTCCCGTTTGTGACATTTTTGGGGTGTTCCTGCTTATTTTCCTTCTGGTTTAGTTGATACTGGTTCCTCAAAACCGCTAAAGATTTTTAACTTTTATTATTTTGAGAGAAAACGTTAGGAGCAGGTTGGATTTAAATATTTTTAGTTGAAACCCGGAGTACAGGGTTTGGGTTCTGTTTGGGTTCTGTTTCACGTTTCTCTCACACCTGTTCTAGCTCCTCCTGACCCCGGTTAAGTCCCTCCTCTCGGTCTCTCCGTTGGTTTGTGGTTCGTTGGTTTGTGGCTCATTTGTTTGTGGTGCTCCTGTCTCGCAGTCAGCCTCAGAAGGTGGAGAGAGCTTTGGAGACGGACGTCTTCTCTCCACCAATCAGGTCCCTCGCTCGGCTGCATGTCCCGCCCCCCCTGTGACGTCACGGCGGGGCGCAGTGTGGAGTGCAGAGCAGTGCGTTTGTGTAGACGCTTCTGGAGCAAGTCTTTTAACAAAATGTCTGTTTAATGTGTCTGTCTGACTTCGAGTAGAATACAGGCATCACGAATCTCGGACTTCAGGTCATCGCGCAATTCAAACTGGGAAAGATCCTCCGAAAAAGTGAGCGTCAAACCTCCATGTTTGTTTTCCCAGTGGGATGTGTCTATTGTCAAAGTCGATCTTTTCAAGTCTTTTGAACCATTTCACTTTTGTTTCTGGTTCTGATATTGTCATATTTTAGTTTTGGGATTTGGACATTGTAATTGTTGTGGTTGTTGGATCCAAACAGCGGAAAACGACTCGAGAAATGTGTTTGTGAACTTCATAAATGCAAAAGTGAATCAGATGTGTGTGACTCAAACCTCTGTTCAAACTGTTTCTCTTCCCAACGGAATTGAAAAATAGTGAAAGGTGAAGGTGATGGGCAGGATTGATCCACAGGAAGAAACAAAAAGGAAACATTTGTCTGACTAAATCATCCTGAGTTTACAGAGAACATTTTGTATGTGGAGCCACGACAAAACAAAATCCTGTTTGTTAATGTAGAGGAGCAGAAGACAAACAGACTGAGCTGCACTTTCTTGTTCTTGTGGTTTTACAGAAACATCACGTCTTGGTCTTTGCAGTGGAAGGTGTTTCTTGGTGAACAGTTGGAGACTTTCACTTTGGCGTCGACTTTTTAAATTCGTAACTGAGGTTGAGCGAGAGATCAGGATTTTGTTTTGTTGTTGCTCCACATACAAAATGTTCTCTGTAAACTCTGGATGATTTAGACAAATGTTTCCTTTTTGGTTCTTCCTGTGGATCAATTCTGCCCATCACCTTCACCTTTCACTATTTTTTAATTCTGTTGGGAAGAGAAACAGTCTGATTCACTTTTGCATTTATGAAGTTCACAAACAAATTTCTCGAGTCGTTTTCCGCTGTTAGGATCCAACAACCACAACAATTAACGATGTTCAAATCCCAAAACTAAAATATGACAATATCAGAACCAGAAACAAAAGTGAAATGGTTCAAAAGACTTGAAAAGATCGACTTTGTCAATAGACACATCCCACTGGGAAAACAAACATGGAGGTTTGATGATCACTTTTTCAGAGGATCCTTCCCAGTATGAATTGCGCGATGACCGGAAGTCTGAGATTCGTGATGTGTGTATAACCAAGATTTAGTCCAGTGAGGTTCCTTTGGTCTTCTGATATTTTATGTTATCAGGTTCTTTTTTCAGACCAAGACTTTGTTTTCAGACCTGACAGTTTCGTCTGCTCCCTGCTCCTCTTCCTCAGAGTCTCGTGATGTTTCTGTGTCGCGTCGCTCAGTTGATTTAAACAGGTTTTGGAGCTGTCTTCCTCTCGTTGGAGTCAGTACGACAGCGCCACCTGCAGGTCCACTTCCTCAGGTCAGAATCCCAGGAGTGTGAGAGGAAAAAAAGCCCCTCGTCCCGGTTTATCGTCCCGTGTGTCACTCGTGTACAGTTGAAAGTGTCAAGTATGAAAACAAACTCTTGGTCTGAAAACAAAACCTAATCACATAAACCAACGTTAGAAGTGGCCACATCAAAGCACAGATTTTTACACCAGATGCCCTTCCTGATTGTGGCTGCAGGATGTTCTGAATATGAAGCTTTTATTAAGTATTTCCTCTCAACATTACCCCCGTTGACCTTCTGGTTGGAGGGAAAACTCTTACTGTTAGTTCGTCCTTTGCCTGGAAAGTTTCCAAATACGGCATTAAAGTTATCCGTGGTATCCATGGAAACAGTTACAGGTCAGATCTGTGGAGTAAGAATGCTTGTTTTAAGGTACTTTTTGAGCCATAAAACACCTGTAATTGATTCATTAATTTTAATTAAGTTTAATGCCATACTGGGAAACATTTCCACGAGGACAAACAGCTGGTGTACCCTTCACTGGAAAAGTTACAGAATGTCCCTTTAAATTGTCTAAGTCCTTGTGCTGGACAGTTTTACGGCTGTTGTTTTTTGCATTTGGCGCAGTAAATGTTTTTGTCTCTTTGAAATGATGCGTCTGTGTGGAATCGGGTTTGAGTCGTAGAGTTCACAGAACGTTTTTAAAATATCAAGCAAAAAATTATGAATCAAAATACCAAATTAAAATAAATCTAACTAAATAAAATATGTAAGATTGCAATCAAAATCTTTGTGTAATCTTTCTTTGCCTCTTTTATTTTTATTCCGCGTTACTCAGTTTTGTTTGACGACGTTTTCTTTGGTTCTGATTCTCCTCTTTGTTTGATTTTTTGTTTTTTTTGTTTTTTTTTTTTGGTTGCAGCTTCAGCACAAACGTGACAGGTGGGCGGGGTTTACACGGTGCATTTCCATTGGCTCGTTTATGTTTGATGGACAGTTGAGTCTGGAGCTCCTGAAGCTGTTGTGGACGTTTCCTGCTGAGGTTTTGGTGCTCAGAGCTTTTCTAATATTCAACGTTCTCTGGTGGACGATTCTTCTGGAACAGCGTGATTCTACAGCGGAAGAACTGGACGAATCTGTGTGTCATTCGTTCATTTGTTTTTCAATATAAAACCAAAAATAAGAAAATGAAAAAACAACAATTTTCTTCATTATTTGTCTCCAAAACCAAAATGAAAAAACAGATAATGATTCGTTTTTTCAGTTTTCAATTTTGTGTTTAAATGAAAAATGGAAAAAACAGATAACGACCGTTTCCTGTTTACATGACTTTAGTGACTGAACCAGGACTGATCCAGGTCCAGGACCAGAGCGGGACCAGACGGGACTGAAATCAGAACTGAAAACCAGGACCAGACCGAGACTGAGACCAGAGGGGGACTGAAACAGAGACCACACCTGGACCACACCTGGACCACACCTGGACCAGACCGGGACCAGACCGGGACCAGACCGGGACCAGACCGGGACCAGACCGGGACCAGACTGGGACCAGGCCGAGACCAGACCGGAGCCTCAGAGCCCACAGCAGGGCCGAAGCTTGAAGCTTGGAGTCCGCTCTGGTCCCGCTCTGGTCCCGCTCTGGTCCCGCTCTGGTCCCGGACCTGGATCAGTCCTGGTTCAGTCCGTATACAGTGCAAAAGTCCGGCATCGCAGTCACCGAAGTCACGTAAACGGAAAACGGCTGTTATCTGTTTTTTCCATTTTTCATTTAAACACAAAATCGAAATCATTATCCGTTTTTTAATTTTGGTTTTGGAGACAAATAATGAAGAAAACTGTTGTTTTGTTTTTTTTTTCATTTTCTTATTTTTGGTTTTATATTGAAAAACAAATGAACGAATGATACACAGATTTGGACAAACTTGTGCCAAAACTTCACCAGGAAACGTCCACAACAGCTTCAGGAGCTCCAGACTCAGCTGTCCGTCAAACATAAATGAGCCAATGGGAATGCACCGATGGAAACCCCGCCCACCTGTCACACCTGGGCCAAAACTGCACCAAAAAAATCAAACAAGGAGAATCAGACGCAAAGAAAACGGCATCAAACAAAACAGAAAAACACACGGAACAAAAACAAAATGTTCCAAAGAGGCAAAGACAGAATTTTTTTTTTACGATTACACAAATAATTAGATTGCCAGTGTATTTATTTTATTTTTTATTTAACTTTTTTTTTTTTTCTTGGTGTTTTAAAAGCGTCTGTGAACTCTTTGACTCTAACCTGAGTCGGTCGATCTGTTTCTGTGGGTTTTTGTTGTGAAGTCTCGGGGGTTTCTCTTGTTGAATGTTTGAGCTGAAGCTGTTGTCGGTCTCTGTGTCACTAACAGCTCTACGGTCTTTAATAACAGCACGGCTCTGCTCGGACTCAACGCCTGCAGACGCTCGCCGCACAAATGTCTAAAGATGTGAAGATTCTGATTTGAAGCATTTTGAAGCATTTTGGAGCATGTTTTAGGCTGTGTTCGAATGTCCACACTTTGTTTAGGGATCACACGAAGAGTCAGTGCAGAGAACAGGACGTAAGAAAGAAAAACGACAACGGACAAAGAGAAAACAACTGAAGGAAGCTGAAAAATGGACTGGACCAGGACTGGACCAGGACTGGACCAGGACTGGACCAGGACTGGACCAGGACTGAGACCAGGACTGAGTGTCGGGACAGGCCCGGAAGTGCACCAGCATAGACTTTTCGGGTGATCAGAACTGAGATCGGGACCGGACCAGGACCAGGACTGAGAGCAGGACTGAAACCTTGACCAGACCGGGACTGAGACATAGACCGGGACCAGGACTGAGACTGGGACCAGACTGGGACCAAAGCAGGACTGAGACTGGACCAGGACTGGACTGGGACCAGGACTGAGACTGGGACCAGGGACTGAGACTGGGACCAGGACTGAGACTGGGACCAGGACTGAGACTGGGACCAGGACTGAGACCGGGACCAGAGCAAGACTGGGACCAAGACCGTTACCAGGACTGAGAGCAGGACTGAAATCTTGACCGGACCAGGACTAGGACTGAGAGCAGGACTCAAACCTTGACCGGACCGGGACCAGGACTGAGACCAGAGCAAGACTGGGACCGAGACCAGGACCAGGACTGAAACCAGGACTGAAACCTTGACCGGACTGGGACCAGGACTGAGACGAGGAATGAGACTGGTTGAGTCCTGGTTGAGTCCTGGTTGAGTCCTGGTTCCAGTCCTGGTTCAGTCCTGGTCCAGTCCTGGTTCAGTCCGTTATCTGTTTTTTCCATTTTTCATTTAAACACAATTATTAGTTTTTTCAGTTTTCAGTTTTATCTTTTTTTATATTATTTTCCTTTTCTTATTTTTGCTTTTATTTTGAAAAACAAAAAAACGAACGACACGGATTCTTAAAGCTTCACAAGAATCCGTTTCGCGTAAGGTAGGACCTGTAGGAGCCGTTAAAAGATCGATCATTTCCACGTTTCAGACTAAAATCTGTTTTTGTGACATGTGTCTGGTCTTTACTCGTCCATAAACACTTTCGGACACAGCCTTCGTTTTCGGTCAGTAATTTGAGCTTTGACTTGGTTTGTTTTTGTTTGTGATTTCAGTTCTGGAGGTCAGACGCCGCGCCGCGACCTGGAGAAGCAGCTCACCGGAGAAGAGAAGTCAGTCACGCTTCACTAACTCACGCTCACGTTTTTACAAATGTTCTGTTCTGATCTAAACCTGCGCTCGTCCTCAGAGCCCTGCGACCGGGAGATCCGGGGTTCTGCGCCCGAGCCCGAGTCCCCATGCCGTCCAACAAAGACTACGTGGTCCGACCCAAGTGGAACGTCGAGGGAGACTCCAGCCGGGTCAGTACCGCCTCCCAGCTTCGTTTATTTATTTATTTTTTATTTCATTCATAAAGTTTAAAAACAGTTCCAGAACATTAAACATACAAGAAACGAATGAAAATGAGCAAAAAGAAGCGTCGTCTTAAGTTAATCTGCCGCCTGATTCTGTTATTTTAAAACATTTCTCATCAATATATTGAATTTTGATCACAAATATTAATCAATTGCAAACACAAATCTTTACGTTTATGCATCAACTTTATTTGTATAACACGAAACAGTTTCCGAAGCGCTGCACAATAAAAATAAAACAATAGAAATGTAAAATAAAGCTCTTTTTAACTTCACTTGTCGTCGTTAAGAAAATAAAACTAGACAAATCAAATAAGAGCAAGAATGACAATAAATAATGAAAAGGTTAAAAAAACAACAACAATATGTGCAGCAATCTGTTCAATTTGTTTTTCAAAATAAAACCAAAAATAAGAAAATGACAAAACAACAGTTTTCTTCATTATTTGTCTCTAAAACCAAAATGAAAAAGCAGATAATGATTTATTTATTTATTTATTTTTTCAGTTTTCGATTTTGTGTTTAAATGAAAAATGGAAAAAACAGATAACGGACTGGACCAGGACTGAAACAGGACCAAACCAAGACTGAAATGAGACTAAAACAAGACTAAAACTGGACTAAACCAGGACTGAAACAAGAATAAATCAGGACTAAACTGGTCTCAGTCCTGGTCCTGGTCCCGATCTGGTCCTGGTCTCAGTCCTGATCACCTGACACTCTGCAAAGGAGCACCTCCGGGCCCGTCCTGAACCAAGACTAAACCAGGACGGGCCCGAAGGTGCTCCTTTGCAGAGTGTCAGGTGATCAGGACTGAGACCAGGACCAGATCGGGACCAGGACCAGGACTGAGACAGTTTAGTCCTGATTTATTCTTGTTTCAGTCCTGGTTTAGTTTAGTCTTGGTTCAATCCGTTATCCTTTTTTTTTTTTTTTCATTTTTCATTTAAACACAAAATTGAAAACTGAAAAACTGTTTTTTCGTTTTCTTATTTTTGGTTTTATATTGAAAAACGAATGAACGAACGACACATGGATTCGCTACAGCTTAGTTAAACCAGGTCTAAACCAGGTCTAAACCAGGTCTAAACCAGGTCTAAACCAGGACTAAACCAGGACTAAACCAGGTCCATGTGTGTACACTGGTCTATGTTCTCTTATACACTTGTTCTGATCCAGCTCCAGATCGTTCTAAATGTTTTACTCTGTCCTGTCAAATTGGGACTTTTTTAGGGATCAATACTTGCGAAAAATGAGGATCTAGTGTCGATCTGTATCTGATTTTCAATACTTTGGACAACCTGACTTCTTAAAATCTTAAAATAATCTTTATGTAGTGTATTTATAATTGTTTTACACTTTCAAACCAGAACGTCACAAGATTTGGAGCGATTTATAGAACCAAGTTTTATAGAACCATAGTTGCCAATCGCACTCTCTGATTGGCTCCGCTTTTTTTTTTTTTTTTTTTTTTTTTTTAAACCCGCTCTCTGATTGGCCGTCCCTTTTTTAAAACCCGCTCTCTGATTGGCCGTTCCTTTTTTTAGTTTTTTAAACGCCGCTCTCTGATTGGCCGTTCCTTTTTTTGTTTTTTAAACGCCGCTCTCTGATTGGCCATCCCTTATTTAAACGCCGCTCTCTGATTGGCTGTCCCTGTAGTTCGTTAAGAAGGGCCTGAGTCTTCTGGAGAAACACAAACGTCGTTTTGCTGAAGAGCGAAAGCAGAAGCGACCGCAGGGGGCCGTCAAGATCAGCATCGAGGGCAACCGCATGCCCCTGTAGCGCCCCCCACAGGCCGCCGGTGGTACTGCAGCCTCCCGCGGGCCGTGAGTCGCACTGCATGGAGTGAGGCTTGACTCGTGCACTGACCTTCAGCCCGAGGAGCAGAGAAAAGACGAGACCTGCAGCTTTTAAAGATGTGTGGATTGTGTTTGTGTGGGGGTCCGTCACCTGCTTGTTTCTATGGCTCAGCTGGGAATGTTCCACAGTATGGCATTAAAGGTTGTATAGAGGATTTTCCATTGTCAATTAAAGTTCAAAATATCAGTATAGATGCAGCAGCTTTGTGATTATGACGACCAAAAAAGGCGACCTAGTTATGATATCGGCTGTCAGGTCGTCAATCAAACTCCCTACGTTTCTAGCCTCACTGACTCGCCAGCGCACTGGGATTACGTTGTTTACGTTCACCTCTTACACGTTCCACAGACGCAAGACGATTCACAGTCTCTGATACATTTCAGTCAACCAAATGGACATCGACAGAACAGGTTAAACAATAAACACAACTAAAACAATAATAATATTCAATAAAATTACAACCAGAGAGTAAACCACACTGACAAAAAAAATAAATTGTACAAAAAAACAACAAAAAGAACAAAAACCTAATAAAAACAGCACAAACAGGTAATCTGGACCAACTCACAGAAAAACACACAGACAGCAGGACAGCAAACGCCGCGAATCGTAGCGTTTTTTCGATCTGTAGCTTCCTCACAGTTCGCACAAAGTTTGTCGGCGATGGCGGACGAGAATCCACGACCGTTTCACTTCAAAATAAAATCCGTTTACGAGGTCGCTGAAGGAAGAAGAGAAGGGGAAAAGGAGCGAAGACAAACTGAGGTGATTCTTGGAGATCTCTTCCGGCGATGGCGCAACTGAAGCAGACGAAGGGTCTAAAAACTGACGCGTCGGTCGATAAATTACTTAGCTGTTTGTTCGCAGATTCGTTCACAGCGCAGCAGCTGTAAACATGATTTCTAGAGTGAGGAGGAAGCAGGAAGAGGTGTTTCTATGAGGGACATTTGAAAAAGGACAAACGGTCGCTGTGTTTCTCCGTCCTTGAAAATCTTCTGTACAACTTCAAATCCAGCTCGATTTTACGTTTATTCAATTACAGGTGGTTTTATAGCTCAAAAATACTTTAAAAAAAAACCAAACATTCTCCACAGATTTGACCTGTAACTTGGTCTGTTTTGGTCTCCGTGAAGATAGAAAGGTTTAATGCCGCACTGTGGAACATTCCAGACAAAGCAAAAACACGGAGGAACATGGAGAAAAGCGTCTGACGGAGCCTCCACCGGAAAACTGACACGATGCACCGTTTTAAGAGTGTGTTTGTGAATGGTGTGGGCATGGCTCCTCCGGCTCCTCTGGCTCCTCCGGCTCCTCCGGCTCCTCCGGCTCCTCCGGCTCCTCCGGCTCCTCTGGCTCCTCCGGCTCCTCTCAGGTTTGGAGGAGCAGGTGACGTGAGGAACGTGGAGGAGAAAAGTGAAAGGAGCTGATACTAAACACACGTCTGTAACCCGTTTGTGCTCGTTTTGGAGTTTTTTTTGGGGTTTTTTTGCCGAGTTCGTCCTCGTGACCTGGATCCTGAACGTTTGGAGTTGGATTTAAGATTGAAGATTTGGATGAGATTTGCTGATCTCTCTCTCCCTCCTTCTCTTTCTCTTCTGTCTCATGTCTGTGTCTCTCTCTTTCTTCCTCTGTCGTCTGGGAGCAGTGCAGAAGGTCTCGCTCGTGTGGATAAACATCTCTCTTCCCTCCTCTCCTCTTTTGTCTCGAACCTCTCTCTCTCTCTCTCTCTAACTCTCTTCTTTCTCTCTCTCTCTCTCTCTCTCTCTCCTCTCTCTCCTCTCTAATTTCTCTCTCTCTCTCTCTCGTCTCTTCTCTCTCTCTCTCTCTCTCTCTCTCTCTCTCTAACGTTCTCTCTCTCTCTCTCTCTCTCTCCTCTCTCTCTCTCTCTCCTCTCTCTCTCTCTCTCTCTCTCTCTCTCTCTCTCTCCTCTCTCTCTCTCCTCTCTCTCTCTCCTCTCTCTCTCTCTCTCTCTCTCTCTCTCTCTCTCTAACTCTCTCTCTCTCTCTCTCTCTCTCTCTAACGTTCTCTCTCTCTCTCTCTCTCTCTCTCTCTCTCTCTTCCTCTCTCCTCTCTAACTCTCTCTCTCTCTCTCTCTCTCTCTCTCTCTCTCTCTCTCTAACTCTCTTCTCTCTCTCTCCCTCTCTAACGTTCTCTCTCTCTCTCTCTCCTCTCTAACGTTCTCTCTCTCTCCCTCTCCTCTCTAACGTTCTCTCTCTCTCTCTCTAACGTTCTTTCTCTCTCTCTCTCTCTCTCCTCTCTAACGTTCTCTCTCTCTCTCTCTCCTCTCTAACTCTCTCTCTTTCTCTCTCTCTAACTCTTCTCTCCTCTCTCTCTTTCTCTCTCCTCTCTAACTTCTCTCTCTCTCCTCTCTATCTCTCTCTCTCTCTCTCTCTCTCTCTCTCTCTCTTCTCTCTCTCTCTCTCTCTTTCTTCTCTCTCAGGGCCCGGTGAAGAAAGGTCTCTCCTCCTCTCTAACCTTCTCTCTCTTCTTCTCTCTTTCTCTCAGGGCCCGGTGAAGAAAGGTCTCTCTCTCTCTCTTCTCTCCTCCTCTCTAACGTTCTCTCTCTCTCTCTCTCTTCTTTCTCTCCTCAGGGCCCGGTGAAGAAAGGTCTCTCTCTCTCTCTCTAATTCTCCTCTCTCTCTCTCTCTCTCTTCTTTCTCTCTCAGGGCCCGGTGAAGAAAGGTCTCTCTCTCTCCTCTCTAACTCTCTCTCTCTCTCTCTTCTTCTCTCTCTCAGGGCCGGTGAAGAAAGGTCTCTCCTCTCTCTAACCTCTCTCTCTCTCTCTTCTTTCTCTCTCAGGGCCCGGTGAAGAAAGGTCTCTCTCTCTCTCTTCCTCTCTCCTCTCTAACCTTCTCTCTCTTCTTTCTCTCTCTTTCTCGTCAGGGCCCGGTGAAGAAAGGCTCTCTCTCTCTCTCTCTTCTTCTCCTCTCTAACCTTCTCTCTCTTCTTTCTCTCTTTCTCTCAGGGCCCGGTGAAGAAAGGTCTCTCCTCCTCTCTTCTCTCTCCTCCTCTCTAACCTTCTCTCTCTTCTCTCTCTCTCTTCTCTCGTCAGGGCCCGGTGAAGAAAGGTCTCTCCTCCTCTCTTCCTCTCCTCCTCTCTAACCTTCTCTCTCTTCTTCTCTCTTTCTCTCGTCAGGGCCCGGTGAAGAAAGGTCTCTCCCGCGTGGACAAACAGATGCGTCGTTTCCAGGACATTCGGCGTTTGTCTAAAACGGGTCACGCCGTGAAGATCAGCGTGGAGGGAAACCGGATGCCGCTCTGATTTTAAACTTTAGGATTCTTCACTTTTATTTTAAATTTTTTTTTTGTTTTTTGGTAAAAATGTAAAAAAAAAAATCTGCTGTGGAATAAAACAGTTGTTACAATCACCTCGTTTGGTTTTCTGTCGGCGACGGGTCCACATCATCATTTTCTTAAAGTTGGTTCATGTTTCGCAGGATTCTCTGGGGGCGTGATGCTAACCGGAGGCACTGCTCTGTCTGAAGCTCCAGTTACACTTGAATCTGAGCTTTAGATTAAAATATACAAAAAGAACAAACCCCAGTTCCACTGAAGTTGAGACGCTCTGTAAAACTTTAAAAAATACAGAATACCATGATGTGCAAATCCTTTTCAACCTATACTGAACTGAATAAACTACAAAGACACAATATTTGTAAATGATCTCATGTATTTTCTGCACTTCTGCTACTTTTGTTTATAAGCACTGTAATACATTTGGTCCAAAAATATAGCTCATGCTTTTATTTTGAAAGGCCGCCGTGCGACAGGAAGCGGCCTCGAGAGAGCGGATGTTTACCTCCTGGCGAACAGTCTGAGCGGCGAACTGACGATGAGCACAAAGGAAAGTTTTGTTTATTTAATCTAAAAGCAGTGTTGGGGAGTAACAGATTACATGTACCTGGATTATGTAATCAGAGTACAAATGATGAGTAACTGTGTATTCAGTTACAGTTACTGTTTCAGTGAAATACAGTACATGGTGGGATTTTTCTGTTTTCACATTTTGGGATAAACCAGGACTAAAACCAGGACTAAAACCAGGACTGAACCAGGTCTAAACCATCTGACACTAACAGTAGGTGGATCATTTAAAGCAGCAGTGTCTCATTTCTCTATCAATAATATTTTTAATATGGTTAAAGGTTTTTTATCCTCGTCTTTGCTTCTCTTCACCAAACTAAATCCTCTTCATGCAGTTTTACGCTCCACAACCAATTTGAAGAAAACAAACAAGAATTTGCAGGATGTGGTTGTTACATTCATGTGTTAAAAAACATGACAGTATCAAGTAATCCAAAGTAATCAGATTACATTACTCACTTTAAGTAATTTAATGGATTATGTTACAAACTACATTTTGGGGTGTGTAATCTGTAATCTGTAGGGGATTACATTTTAAAAGTAAACTTCTCAACACTGTCTAAAAGTAACTGAAAATGTATTTTTAAGTTAATCTATGGTCCATCTCGCTGAGCACCTGGTCGATGTGGGAACAAGGTTAGTAAGAAATAATACTGGAATTACTTTGCTTTGGAAATGTTTAGGGTTTTTTGTTTGTTTTGTTTTGTACATTGAGCCGTTATGATTCTGTGTTATAATTTTATCCACTAGATGGCGCCAGTGCGCTTCGCCTAAGCAATGTTCTGCGCAGTTTGACCATTTTAATGTGTATTTTTTGTTCAGTATAGATTAATAGCAAGGTTCAGGTTTTGTAAGATTTGTTGTTGGTAAACAGTAATTGTCAGATTGTCATAAATGGTTGAAAGGTTAAAAGGAGAAAAGGCAAGACTGTAAGAACTAATTGTTTTTATTTCTTTTTTTTTTTTTGTAGCTCTTACGGTGCGTTCACGAACAAGGCCAAGAAATAAAAGTTGTGAATCATCAGTAAATGAGACCAGCGTTTCACCCGGGAAGCTACAATAGGCGAGTTTCATGCCCGCGTTGCTGCTGGGAAATATTTTGGTCGGAGGCAAGAAACACGGTAGCGTCAAACACAGTGTTTAACCTCACGTATTTCTCCTGATAATGGTAAATTCCTGCTGCATTATCAGATGCACAAATAGAAACACGGAAGAAGGAAAATGTCTTTTTCATATTCTGAGTGAAAAGAACCACTAACGATGAATTAAACGACTTTCAAACATCCGCAGAGCAAACGTAGAAGATCCTAACAAACCGTGGACTCAACAAGTTCAACAACACATCCAGACTCTTGGAGGTTTTCATCTTTTCTGTTGTGAATGGCCCAGGAGTTTCCACCAAGTCATTGTTCTTCACAACTTTTACAACTTTTACAGACAACTAGCATGCTAACTAAACACTACACACAACTACACACTCGAGACGGGTCTTGGTCTGGAGACCGGCCTCCAGACTTCTTTTTTATGGTCTTGGCCTCGTCTCGGTCTTGAAGTCGTCCGTCGATGTTTATGACCAGTTTCTGGTCAAATGGTCTTGGGTCGTCTGCCGTTACAGTGGATCAATAACCAGGATCAATACCCTTTACGTGTTTTCTCGCTCCGTCCGTCATGTTGAATTAGTGTTTCTTGCCGCCGACTAAAATAATTCCCATCATGCAACACACGCTTTTGTCAACAATGAAACTCTCCTGTTTGGTTCTATTAATTCTGAAGTCACGTTAGAACTGAATAAAATGTCCGGATGACGTCACCAACAGAATTCTTTCTCCATTCATCCTGTTGGTGGCGCCGTTGTGTGAAGCAGCTGCTGGAGCTGATTGACCTGCACACGTTTACAGTGTTGGGGGTGATTCTGGTTCAGTCTGTGGCTTGTGCAGCATCTCGATCAGTGTTTCTTCTGCTCAGTAAATAAAGCCTGTGAAGTTTTGACAGTCGAGTCGCGTCTGTGAATTCGTGTTTACACTGAAGAAAGTGAAACTCTTTCATTTCATTTGTGATATTAATTCTTGAAGTTGTAACTTTTCAGTTTGTATTCTGATGGACGTTTCAGTTAGAATGTTTTTATTTTGTATGTGATTTATTATTGTGGAATGTTAATGTGTCCGGGCAAGTGTGCGTCTCCATAAACAGACCTGTGCAGGACGATGGAGTCAGGTCATGTTGCCCCAACATGGAGTCAGGTCATGTTGCCCCAACATGGAGTCAGGTCATGTTGCCCCAACATGGAGTCAGGTCATGTTGCCCACATGTGTCTGTTGCCAACATGGAGTCAGGTCATGTTGCCCCAACATGGAGTCAGGTCATGTTGCCCCAACATGGAGTCAGGTCATGTTGCCCCAACATGGAGTCAGGTCATGTCATGTTGCCCCAACATGGAGTCAGGTCATGTTGCCCCAACATGGAGTCAGGTCATGTTGCCCCAACATGGAGTCAGGTCATGTTGCCCCAACATGGAGTCAGGTCATGTTGCCCCAACATGGAGTCAGGTCATGTTGCCCCAACATGGAGTCAGGTCATGTTGCCCCAACATGGAGTCAGGTCATGTTGCTCCAACATGACCTGGTGAGTCTTTTACTGCCACAGTGATTCTTTTCTGCAGTTTTTGCGACAGCCCCACGCTGCTCCTCACTAATGTTTTTATCATCATCTTGCTGCCAAAGGTTAAGTGAGAAATAAGTGTGGTGCTCCTCCTCACTCCTGCAAGAATGCAGACCCCATGTTTGTTTGATTGATTGTTTGATTGATTGATTGATTGATTGATTGGATCCCCGTTAGTCTTTACTCAGGTAAAGACTGTTCTTCCTGGGGTCCAAGTTGGCATAATTTACAATAAAATGTTCCATAATAATAACAAAAGTTCACACAAGTTTGTGCTTGTGAAATCGAAGCTCCTCAGATGTGTTTTGCTGTTCAGTACTTTTGTTTTTTTTTTTTTTTTACACTTTTTAACTGCAGTTATGTACTGATGTTGGTGGTTTGATTCCAGCTCTCGACATAAACATCACAGGTCGAGCGTCAGATCCACTGACCCACAGGAGCTGGTGTGATTCCAGCTCCCACAGATGAATGCTGCTGTTGTGTCCTTGGGCAAGACACTTAACCCACCTTGCCCACAGTGTCTGTGTGCACTGTGTGACTACTACTACTACTACTATTATGATTATTATGATTATGATTTATTTTTTTATTCCTGTGCTCTAAGCTCTAATGTTGTCTGTTTATTGTTGGTGTTTAATGTTATTCTCAGGACATTTACTGTTTGTTTGAGTCTTTCCAGTGAACATTGACTGTTTTAATGATAAAATGAACTTTCTAGATTTGGCCACAAGCTCAGAGCTGATCACAAAACTGTTTACTTCATAATCAGCTTCATTTAATGTGAACTGAACTAAATAAGTATTTTTACATCATCAGTCATAGTGCAGTGTTATTGTGAATGATTATGAAAACTCAGATCGAACGCTGAGTGTGTGATTTATTATTGAACTTGTACATGTGTTGAATTAACATATTGAACTTTGATTTGTGTTGTGATTATTGGTCCCGTCTCGTGCACAGTTCAGCTTCTTTTCTCTGATCCATTCACACTTTCATCTGCCTGTTCGGTCCATCCTGTGGATCCAGATTTATCCACTGATCCTCCTCCTCGAGATTAAACCATCACCTTCTACCGTGCAGCAGGGGGCGCTGTGGCCTGTAGCCCTACATACTGCCACCATAAAAGACTGGCTCAAATATGACCTGTACTGTAATATTCCCCGTGCAGCCAGAACCACGCGATACAAAATCAACAATCAAAGCACCAAACTATGATTTATCTCAGGTAAAAGTCATTGTATATTTAGTTCTGAATGTTACAAGAATTTCTGGCGTGTGATAAAAATGAACAGGTTGGATCGTCTCAAGTTTGGATGGAGGTTTTTCACCCTCTGTTGTTCAGTTCCAGTCCCTTCTGGATTTGATCAGAATGTAGACGGGACTGGCTGCTCAGGCAAAGCTCATCACACCGGTAAAATGGACTCAAATGCAACACAAGTGCTCAGGCAAACAAAGTCTTGTTTAAATAACTGAAAGTGTCCTGTAACAGAAAGTTAAAGGTTGTATGGAGGATTTTTTTTAGTTTCAAACTGTCAGTGAAAGATTAAAATACCATTACAGAGATGAAGCAGCTTTGTAATTATGATGACCAAAAAAAAAAGAACAAAAATCTATCAACTGTGGACATGTTGAGGCCAGATAAACATCAGCCAATAGAAAACGAGGCTCCCTCATTTTCCATTGGCTGTTACGTTGTCAATTAAACTCCCTAGTGTAACTGACTCGTCGGAGCGCGGGGATTACGTGGTTTACGCGGCGGTTCTTAGAGGCTTTTTCGAACTGTCACTTCCTCGCATTTCGCACAAAGTTTGTCGCGACGGCGGACGAGAATCCACGACCGGTTCACC